GCATGCAATTAAATTGATAGAATGTGCAACGCATCGCACATTCTCAATCTTTGGATGATTTTCATGTATAATTTTTCATGCATTACGAACATTGGCCGTATTATCGGAAACTACAGCACATATTTGATCTTCTTCAATACCTTCTATAACCTTTTCAATTACCGTAACTAAATATTTTGCAGTGTGCGAATTTTCAGACAAATCAGAAAGTTGATAAAGATATTTTTTACGTGACAGAATCATTATAATAAAGTTCCAAATTGAATGATGTGTACCAGATATCCAACCATCAAAGGCTAAATTATAAATTAATATTATATAGTAAGTAAGATTAAATAAAAATCACGTATGATAGCCTATTTAATTTAACAAACCTAACGTTAAATTCATTTCCCTTTCAAGTTCAGAATTAACTTTGAAGTTCACTTGAGCTAATTCATGTTCAAGTAGTTGATTTACTAATACTTCCCTTATTGGTGTATTGTACCTGGCATTAAGCTCTTTTATAAAGTTAATGAAAAAGGGATGTTCCACTATTCTAAACGCAATTCCGCATGCAATAAAAAATTTAACTAATGCATGATTAATTCATGTACATCTTTGTTCGTTAAGCTCTGTTGAATCATGATAATCATCCATGTTACTTTAACCTTCAGAGTATTTTCTTTTTTTGGATGACTTGGACTTATCTTGCTGTTCCATTACTTTAGTCATATACCTTTTAACAACTGCTGCTGATGCATCTGGACAATGGTTTGAAAGATGCTCTTCAAGCTTTGAAACTTCACCGCGTGACCATGTATTCTTACAGTACTTGCAGGAGGCGGCAAATTTGCCAGAACCAACAGCTTCTCCTTTATTAATATCTTCCCAAATGCTATTAGATGGCTGACCTCCTCTATTTTTCTTTTTAATGGGTGAATCTTCTATGTGATCAGTTATTTGAAACAGTTTATTATTAATTTTATTATTAAGAAAATGGAAAAAAGTAAAAGGAACTTTAGTTCAGTGTTAAAAGAGATGATGGAATTGGGTTTATTAAATGCATGTTACGCATTTTCCTTTAATGAATATAAGCCCCTTAAAAAAAACTGCAAGAACGTGTAATATTATAATATTAATATGGAAGTTAGAAATGAAAATTCTATCATTAGATAAAGCTTAAAAGAACTAAGACGACGGTAAAATATTGAAGTTTAATCTTTTATCTGTAGATTAAGTGGGATACCACACTATAATATAATTATATTATAGTGTGGTATCCCACTTGGACTAGGTTATAGTACCACGCTATAATCTAAATACCATACTATAATCTGAATACCACGTTATATTCTAGATACCACACTATAATCCAAATACCACACTATAATCTAAATACTACACTAAAATCTAAATATCAAACTATAACCTAAATATCATGCTATAATCTAATTACTATGACCTAATTACCACGCTTTAATCTGAATACATAATCTGGCTACCACACTATAATCTACCCCTTTTATTTTGATGCTATCTCTATTCACATTCTAGCTATATTTTTATACCTTTCTTGATATCTGTATTTTTCTCTTATGTATGATTTTATTACCACGTTATAATCTAAATACCCCCCACACTTTAACCTAGGTACCTCTCTTTTCTTCCTGTTTCTACTCTATTTGTAATTTAAGTTATATATTGTTGATACTGACCTTTCACGTCTGATTGAATGTCAAATTCTATATATATTGAAGTACTTACCCTTTGTGCCTATTTGGTTGCCTTTCTAGATGCTGAAATGTGGTAAAAAAATATGGTGTCGGGTGGTGCAGTAAATTCGTGATTAATTTTGGCTGACATTATGACATAATTCTGGTCAGTCTTTAGGGCATATAATTCAGGATTCAGCTTGGCGCCATGGTAGTAACCTAATAGTATCCTGGAACTGTCATGGAACTGGCAGGGAACTGGCAGGGGATTACCATGGAAATGTTATGGAACTGGTAGTTTGCCAGCTTGAATGCCAAATTATTATGTCCAGAGGCTGATTTTATGGAATAGTACTGGCTGAAATTATGGAGCGAATCTTGACTGCGCCTTACTGCGCCTACTGCTCCGGTCACGTGATCCTGTTACGGCACCGAACACCCTCTGTCATAATATAGCAAATTTAGTTAACCAGTTGTCACTAGTTCCGTATACTATGGTCGTTGCCAGAAGTGCGCCGATTTTGTAATCCTATTTGTTGCCGGTGAGATCCCCCAATTCCCTCTGTCATCAATTTACAGAGTTGCCACATCGAACGGGCATTCCCATGGTCGAACGAATGAATAAACGAACGAACGAACAATTAAACGAATAAGCAAATAATCAACGGCATAATTAACAATCAACATAATCAACGAACAACATACAACAACGTATAACAGCAACATTCTTGGTTCACAACGTAAATAGCGTTAGTAATACAAAACATCAAATGATATAAAATAAAATTAACTTCTCTAAATTTTCCCCAACTTATATCCACTTTTACCTTTAACTTCAAACTTCGATAGCTCTCGCTACGAATTATTACTTTTCAAAAATGTATATTTAATTCATCTTAAAATTTTCATTTTATTCAATTAAAATTAATTAAGCAGACATTAATTAAAGTTTAGGGCGAACCTATTACCTTTAATTAATATTGAACTTTACTAACAAATAATTAAATGAAACTTATATTTTTATTGAGTTCTGTGGATGAGAACTGTGGAATTACTTTGAATTCCGTTCTCTATTTATACAAATTTACACTACTTTCTATTCTATCTATATACTATCTTTTATATTCTTTTTACATATTATCTTTGAACTATCTTTCTAATAT